CGTCGGCAGGGGTGGGGTTGACGCCAGCGACAAACTTCTGTATCATGGCGGCGGAGAGGAGGAAGAGAGGGTTGGGGGCTTCAGGGTGCGGAAGATAGTGCCGGAGAATATGCTAAGAAGAAGTCGTGAAAGAGAGGACATTTTTCATTATATATATATATATATATATATATATTTTTTAAGTTCTCAACCGGTCCAAATTTGAATCGTTTTGGGATTGAACCAACCGGTTATACAATTGTCCATTTAATTTGTACACACGTACAACCACGTCACACTTCCGTTAAATCTAACCAAAATTTTAACGACTAAAATGTAACTAATTTCAAAGTACATGGACTAAATTGTTACTTTTGAAAGTTCAGGAACTAAATCGTTACATCAAAGTTTAGAGACCAAATGTGTTTTTTAACCAAATTTTTATCGAATAAAAAAGGAAATTTAAATATAAGTAAAAGAATGGATTCTTATCAATAATACTCACTAGCCAATAATAATGAAACAAATTTTCCTTTTCAATTTCGTGTTCTTGACAACAAGATTAGAATGGTAAGTCATTTGGTCCAACTCGATTTAACCAAAATATTAAATAAAATGAGGTAAAATAAATTTAGCCAAATCGATGAGGTGTTCAAAGTGGGGTGGTCGAAGTTTGAAGGGGTAAAAGCGTAGGACAGAGGAAGGGGAGGATAAGTCTATAATTAAAAGTCTTAAAAAAAAAGTCAGAAGCAATAAAAATATATTTGAAGGGGTAAAAGCGTAGGATAAAGGAAGAGGAGGATAAGTCTATAATTAAAAGTCTTAACAAAAAAAGTCAGAAGCAAGAAAAATATAAAATAAATAAGCCGTGAACGGCAGGATTCAAACCTAACCTGCGCGGGCAAAGCCCACATGATTTCTAGTCATGCCCGATAACCACTCCGGCACGCCCACATGGTTGAAAATTGTGTACTGTTCATTAAACATAAAACTTGTATTAATTTTTAATCAAGGGGATGTAAAATTAACAAGAAAAAGTGGAGATGCGGGGTATCGATCCCCGTATCTCTCGATGCTAAGTGAGCGCTCTACCAGCTGAGCTACATCCCCAAGATGACTTGAGATAGTTAACACTTACTTTATTATACACTATTCTTTCATTTTTTGTTCAGTTTAAGCCCTGCAGTAACATGGGAGACTAGTATATAAAATCAATAATGCATATATCGTCAGATTCCAAAGAGCAACTACTTGACAAGGATTTTTATTTCGCTTCTGGTTTCTTCAGTTGTCATGTTTTCGTTTTTAGAAGAACTTGTTTAGAGAAACTTACCCTGACACTCTTTCGATCGATACACAGTTGAGTAGGCCGATCATGAACGCAACAGGTGGGGGAGCGATCCAGGTCAGGGAAGGCTAAGACGGTATCTCGTATATGGGTAGCAAGAGGGCGCTTATGCCCCGACGGTGGGGCCTTATGGGGAAGGGCCCAATACGGACAGCACACCCCCCACTTCAAGCGCACCTCTTTATCGACTGAATCACTCTAATATTCTAGTCGGTGGAACCAGTGACCAAGCTTCTGATCCATTCTGATCTTGGTTTTGCCTAGTTAGTCTTCTTATTCTTCTAATGATGAATGAGCCATTGATTTGATCGAACTTGAATGAACAGTTCCAGAAAAAATAACGGTATATATAGTGTCAAATGTAAATGCATATACATAAGTCAGCTGTAGCAATTCAAGCTATTCAAATCTATAAAAGCATAAGAAAAATTTCTTACAATACATAAGAATGCAACTTCCAGATTAATTTATAGTGGAGTAGCATTAGGTTATGAAAGAAGGTTAATTAATTAATAAAATAATTAATTGATTTTGTATCATTGGAGCTTATAATCGGTATGTTCATAAAGTCCCTTCTTACTTTAAAATTCATTGATCAATTACGTTGGAAAAAATTAAAAAAAGTTTGAAATGTTCAAATTTAAGATAAATTAAATTTCAAAGGAACAATATAGTTTATATTAATGTGTATCGGGTACATATACTCTCATGGATATCCCTTTTCTACCGCCTAATGCAGAAACCAAGTCTAGCACATACGCCAGAACCCTCATGCGTTCGATGTGATGCAAGAATGTGTGCCCGAGTCCACGATTTACATGTGCACCCTTTATGAGACCTGGAATGTCAACTACTGTGAATGATAAGTCGTCATAATTCAAATTTCCCAAATTTGGCCTAACAGCTATGAATGCACAATACCAACTATTGGCTTTTCTCTAGAAATCAGATAAAAGTACAGCAAAAAAGTTCTAGTTTCCTTGTTGAATTTTTAATTCTAATAATTTTAACAGAAAAAAGATAAAGAAAAAAAAAGATTACATTACAATTAAGTCCCTAAATTTGATGATGGAATCTATTTACTTCCTAAACTTTAAAAAATTTTAATTTCCTTATTGAACTTTGAATTATAATTAATATGTAGCCCGTAACATTAACAGTGGCATAGGAATCAGATAAAAAGACTTGAAAATTTTATTTAAAGATTAATAAGAAATATGAGCTAAAACAAGGTAATATGCAAGTTACCCAATTTTGAATTATAATTATATGTTTGAAAATTGTTGTTGGAATTGCACTTCAGATGCAACAAAATATAAGAAAATTATTGAAATGAAAAGTGTCAACATTTCTACTCGGTCTCAACAAAGAACAAGATTAGATACGTGGTAGAATCTTAGCTAGTAAACCTTTACCTAAGAACTTTTTTTTCCTCTTTTTTTCCCCTGATATACTTTCATTACCAAAACCAGAGAATAAAAAGGAGATAGAGAAATCTCCAGCCACCAATTGGCGACTATGCGAGTGATTCCATAATTACAGAAGGGTTTAGTAATGGCAAAACAAGTGGAAACGAAATTTTTTTACAAAGATCCCAAAAGGAATTGTAAAGCATTTTTCAACACTTATCACACCCTTTTCTTTTTTTAGAAGTTTCTTTTCAAGTACAACTCGTGAGTATGGAAAGTTGGGGATCGAACTCACAACCTCTTGATTGGAAGTATATGTCAATTACCGCTGAACTATGCTCGTTTTGGCACTTATCACACCCTTTTCAATTATTGTTTCTTTAACAAACTTACCCAACATAGTCGAAGAAGCTTAACTAAGGAAATTTCCAACCATTCGCAGCTGATTCCTTTTTCTTCTTCTCTTTTTTTTTTAATAGGAAATCCGTAGCAACTAATTCCATTGCAATCTAATATAGAAAGAGAGAATTTCTCTTCGCTTATAGAATGAAAACAAAACCATGAAACACAGCGATTACACTAGAGAACTTGTACACAGCACTACGGCTACTTGAATTCAAAACTTTACTTTGGACGTGAGCAGTTAAAGATCTTCATACATATATAGAAAGAAAAGCATATAGAGAGAGAGCTCCTTTAGCATATCAATTCTTTTACAAATCATGCCACTCTAATATGTTCAACTCTCTGCCTCCTTCTACCATTTGTCTACCGTATTGAGTCAAAGGTATGTCACATTATTATTTAGCTAACAGCAAGATCTACGTAAAGTCACAACTCAAAATTTAGAGACGTAATTGAACTTTTAAAATTTAGAGACGTAATAGACACGTCCATCAATAGAATCTAAATTTAAAGATTGACCCAACAAATATGAACAGTTAAAAGACTAGAAAAGGCAGTGAAGTTGCACACATAAAAATTAAGAGAAGATAGATGAGACTGTTCCGATCTTGTTTTTGGAAGATCCATGTCCTCCTCTGCTTGCATTCTGCAAGCTATGGAAGCAATATTGATTAAAATTATAATTCTGTAACTATAGAGGTAGTTTACCAATCTGATACATTTCTAGTAGAAGTATAAAGAAAGACTCAAGTATACAATATGATGCTTAGACTTGTTGGAGGGAATATGGTGAGTAATAGGAAATGGCAGAAAAAAGTCATGGAGAACTTGAGGATTCTCGCAAGCCGTTTTTACAAACAAAAACCTCATCGTTCTCCCTTTTCTGGCCCCTCAACCACCCCTCATCTTTTGCAAAGACAAAGTTTGAACTAGCTTAATTTTGTTGAGCCAGAGAACAGGCGGATCTAGAAATTTTGTTCAGGAAGCTTTATACTAATTTAATAAGTAATTCTTTGAAGTAAAAAAAAAAAAGTAATTCTACAAAATCATAAATGAAATGAGCTATAATTTAATACATCATAATTGTCTTCTATGAGTTTTCATATTATGAAATCGCTGCATAATAACTTCATTATCTATTTTATCAAATAAATCTTTATCAATGCATGTGATAAGAATGGATAAACTTTATCTTTAGTTGTCCTCACCATGTTTAGTGCAAGATCACTGATATTTGTTAGTTCAACAAATATAGTATCTGAACGCATATCAATGACGTAATTTGAAGCTGGTCCTCAAGAACAACAAGATCAGTAGTTGAAAAATCTCTAGAATAAAACTGAGCGAGACGAATAAGTTTTGTCTTTCAAAAGCAGCAAATGAGTTGCTCGGATTCAGGCATGCTACACAAAGAAGCAGATCTGTACTTGTTTCGGTAAAATGATTGTTCGGCTCTTGAAGTTGCATATCAATGATCGTGTAAGAAACCTCAACACGGTAATGGTGCATATTTGTGATTGGCTGAGATTTTCGTCTTTTCCTCTCTCGAATTGAAAACATAGCATTCATCTCAAGCATTTCAATATCATGCTTATCACAAAAATTAGAAACTTGATCTAGTATTGAATCCCAACTTAATTCTCTCATTGTTTGTAATTTTTCTTTACAAATCCTGACCAAATTCACTACACTCACGATATCTTGATCTTTACTCTATAGTGCTTGAGACAATTCATTTGTGATTACCAATACAACTTTCATAAGATGCATATGAAAAATGAAATCAAATGTCTGAATCGAATTTATTAGAACCTTTGCTTCATATTTTTGTTCAGAAGTTGACCCATCCTCTACAATTGTCTCGATAAAGCTGACTAGAGTATTGAAATGTGATCCCCATCATGTATCTCATTGTCGTTTAATCATGTATCTCATTCTCTGTGACTTTGCAAGGGTCAGCGAGGAAATGGTACTGGCAGCTATTGGCTCACTCCATTTCCTCTTGGAAACAGCTCCACAAGGCATTTATAG